AACGTTTGGGTTTGTTTGCACGGAATGGTTGAATTACGCTCGACGATTTTGGTCATCACGCCGCCCGCGGTCTCGATGCCCAGTGACAGGGGAGTAACGTCCACGAGCAACACGTCTTGAATCGCAGAACTCGTGTCACCGCTGAGAATGGCCGCCTGTACCGCGGCGCCGTACGCTACTGCCTCGTCGGGGTTGATGGACAAGTTCAGGGGCTTGCCGCAGAAATAGTTTTGCAGGAGACTCTGAATCTTCGGGATCCTCGTAGAACCGCCCACGAGCACCACGTCGTGTATGTCTCCCTTGTCCAACTTGGCGTCCGTTAATGCCTTCTCTACTGGCTGCAGGGTCGATCTGAACAGATCTGCGCACAGCTCTTCGAAACGGGCTCGGGACACTCGGGTGTAGAAATCGATGCCTTCCATCAGAGCGTCGATTTCTATGGTGGCCTCCGAACTGGACGACAGGGTCCTCTTGGCACGTTCCGCGGCCGTCCTCAACCGTCTCAGCGCCCTCGGATTGGTGTGCACGTCCTTTTTCGATTTCCTCTTGAACTCTTCTGCCAAATGAGACACCAGCCGGTTGTCGAAGTCTTCCCCGCCCAAGTGCGTGTCACCCGCCGTCGATTTCACTTCGAATATCGAACCCTCGTCGATCTGCAGAACGGACACGTCGAACGTGCCACCGCCCAGGTCGAAAATCAACACGTTTCTCTCACCTTTCAGGTTCTTGTCCAGACCGTACGCCAAAGCCGCAGCGGTCGGTTCGTTGATTATTCGCATCACGTTCAGACCAGCTATGGCGCCCGCGTCCTTGGTCGCTTGCCTCTGCGAATCGTTGAAGTACGCCGGCACCGTGATCACGGCGTCCGTCACTGCACGGCCCAGGTACGCTTCCGCGGTCTCCTTCATTTTCGTCAACACCATTGAACTGATTTCTTCCGGCGCGAATACCTTCCGTTCACCTTTGAATTCTACTTGGATCTTGGGCTTACCGAAATCGTCGACCACTTTGAACGGCCAGTGTTTAATGTCCGCTTGCGTCTTGTCGTCGTCAAATCGACGACCGATCAACCGCTTGGCGTCGAACACCGTATTGACGGGGTTCATTGCCACTTGGTTCTTGGCCGCGTCGCCGATCAACCGTTCGGTGTCGGTGAACGCCACATAACTCGGGGTGGTCCTGTTTCCTTGGTCGTTGGCGATGACCTCTACTTTTCCGTGTTGCCAGATACCCACGCAAGAATAGGTGGTACCCAGGTCGATACCAATCGCTGTTCTTCCAACCATTTCGGCAATAAAGTTGTCGACTTTGGTCACACGCACAATTAATACGAAAATAAATTATATAAGAATAAAACGATTACGATTTACTTAAATCGCTTTGTATTTAAATTTGAAAAATCACTGTTGAATTAAATAATCAATAATTATATGTATAACACTGAGAGTCGCACAATACAGTAAATAACAGTTATATTTCGTTCAATGAATCGCACTGTTACCGCTCTGAATTCAAACTGATGCCGGGCAGCGCGCGTCTATCATTTATATATCCTACCGTACGTTCGAGAAGGTTCGATACGTTTCGCGAGCGGCGAGCTCAGCCGTGACTGCCGCGCTGTCTGCCCGTCACCCTATTGTACCATTTATTTCTAAGCTATACCTTATAAATATAATACAACGACGGGGCTATAGAACATTCGAGAATTTTCTCCGTCTTTCTCGTTAGGTATTGTTATTTTCATAACGTTTGCAACAAACGTCTCAATATTAAATTTTGAGCTTAGCGATGAATATGAATTTATTGAATTTTACAAGGATGTGTTTTTTTTTTTGTAGGTATCATAATTTTTTGATTTGTGTCATTATTTAAAAATAATTAAATATTAATACAACTAACATAATAATATAATCTACCTATATATATTTTATATATTACTTATAAAATAAAAGCCTCTTTTTTGTAAGTACGACTGTACGAGCAATGAGCATATCTCGAAAAGAACTCTACTTATTTTAATACGGTTTTCACTAATAAATCGGACATCGGTAGAGTCATGGGGAAGGTTTTAATGTATAATAATTTTCTTTTCAAAAGATTAATTCTGTGACCGAAAATAATAACAATCGATGCAAATAAATGTTTGTCTGTATGTCATTGCGGTCTCCTCCTAAACCACTAGACATTTTTTGTGTGTTTTTGAGTGAGTCCTTGAATCTTTTAGATTCACAATTAGAATTAGACCCAGCAAGTTGGTTCAACCCGGAGAGGTGCCCAAACATTTATTTTGAGATTTACAATGGAAATTTTTGTTTATAAATGGTTGCTATTGGTTATAACTTATAGGAGATCTATATAAATAAAAATTAGTATTTTAAATGTTGCCATTAGTTAGGTACTTTGGCAGATGAGGTAAAAGGATCATAAAATCGTGGCACCCGTATGGTTTCGAATAAAGAAATTATATCTTAAAAGAAATATTTTGAGTGTTCGAGAAGGTTCGATACGTTTCGCGAGCGGCGAGCTCAGCCGTGACCGCCTCGCTGTCTGCCCGTCACCCTACTATACCATTTATTTCTATAGCTATACCTTATATATTTAATGCAACGATGGTGAATGGTGTTATAGAACATTCGAGAGTTTTCTCCGTCGTTCTCGTTACTTGTTATTTTCATTGGGTTACTCATCATTAAATAACTCAATTTTTAGATTCTGAGCGGATCGACGAATGTATTGAGTTTAAAATTTGTATTGTGTTTTTAATTTCTCTGTCTGTCATCACCGTTATGGGAAGTAAAACTGCTTCGATTTTCTTCAACGGCTATTATCGTGTTTGATAGAAAAGCGAATCTTGTCAAAAGTATAGTTCTCTATAGTTTTCTAAAGTGCAGGGAAAAACAAAACAAAAATTAAACAAAAACGGTAGTTTTCAACTACCTAATTCGATTTTGGTTTTAGGAGTGAGTCAAAAATAAATGACAGTAAATACATGAAAATTTCACTCAATATTATCAATTTCTATACACGGTAAAATTTTCAAAATATTTTGACTTGTTTTGAGCTGTTTACGAACATATTGAGTTTCCAATTTCTTTCGTTTTTTTTCTTGATAAATATAAAATTTTTTTTTTTTTTCTCAAAATGCTTGAAAATTTAATACAAGGCTCCTAATATATTGTTACAATGACAAATGAAAAATATTAAAAATACACAGGCCCATTTTTTTTTTATAAGCATTTAAATTTTAATTAATCAAATTAAATTTTTATGAATGTTTGAAGTTCAAATTTTTACAACAATAGATATTCATTTGATTTCTCAAGTAAATTTTCTTATTTTGTTGTAATTCAAAAACAAATAACAGTAGACACTTGAAATTTATATTATATGTTTATTTTATCAATTCCCATACTTGATAATTTTTTTAAGATATTTGTACTGTTTTCTAACATTTTAGATACATTTTCAATTTCCAATTGTTTTAGTTTTAGTTTTTATGAATGTCTATAAAATTATATTTTGTTCATATATTTTGGCTATAGCTAATCAGTAATCTATAAAGACGTCTATGAATATACGTAATGTCATAATCCTTGTTTACTAGATTACTACAGTTGATACTTGATAAATATTAAACAAAATAAATAACAATAATAAGGCAATGGTGATGTGAGGAGGGCTTCAGTTGGAAAAAACAAACACTAGGTATTGAAAAAAATTACATCTTAATGATTAGTACAGTATATTAAACATTTTATTACATTAAAAATAAATTAACATAAACAAATTACATAATCATACACCTAACTTAACCGTAATCACATAAATGGAATGATTAAGTACCTACATATTCATAAAAAAAAACACAGATAATCAGTCTATTAAATGCATAATATAACAGTATGATAAACTATTCAAATATTAAAGATATTTTTTCAATATACTGTATAATATAAAGTAATATGCGTAATATTATGTTTATAATTTTGAACAAAACAATTAAAACAATAATAATATGTCTATTAAACTATATTATACTATATATAATAAAAAAAAATGAGAAAAAAAACAGTGGTAAAAATGAGTTATGCCACACTAGGTACACATTAAATATCATGTAATATTATATATACCGATGGAAATATTATTTTAACACATATACAAAAGATAAAATTTCTTAGTTACGATAACAGGCAATGAGCATTTCAGTCCCACACAATAAAGAGAATAACAATATTAATATATTATATTAATTTTAGTAATATTATAAAGCGGTTGCCGAGGTATCTATAATTTGCTAATTAGTGAAAATATTTCCTTTTGATTTTCTATTTATTCAATTATTTATACAATGTACTTAATAATACAAAAGTATATTAAATCTTTCCTTAAATATAATTTTTTTGGTAACAATATTTGGTTTTTGAAATACACATATACATAATATAAGCCCCTAAACCAACTAGAAAAAAAAACAAAAATAATCTGATAGTAATTAGTCTTATATTATATTTGAAATGCCAAGTAATTAAGTATATAGTATATAAGCCAACCCAGTCTTGATGAAAACAAAAAATGTTTAGTTGAAAACATTTGTCTATTGATTAATGATAGAGATTAGTATTTAGTAAACTTACAATGGAATAAATTTAAATGTGCTAAACATAAAATGTAATAATAAAAAATTCCAATTATTATTGTTTAACGATGGAAGTTTTAAATTTTAGTAATATTAAAACACGAGATTTCATTAATATAGTTAAATAATCAGAAGATTTAAATAAAATCATAATGATTTTATATATAATTTAAGATTGATCATAAGTTATCAAAAATAAGAAAAAGAAGAAAAAGTACAAGAATTAATGAATTTTATGAATTGTTCTATTTAAGTTTATGATAACTTAATTATCATGAATTACTAGGCCAAGAATTATTCATAAATAATAAAATTCGCTAAAAACACACATCAGAGAAAAACATTGATATCAGTTTGTTACTTATTTTGGGGCTATGAGACCAGCAAGCATATCAAACGAATTTCCATCCGGTCTGACATCTATAATGTCTCCATCTTCTGAACGAACCCTCAGAAATCCATGGTCATCTAGTCCTATCACCGTGGCTTTGAATGACGATTTGTTTGGTCGAAGCACTGTTACTACAGTATTACTAATAGAAAAATACACATTGATAATAATATGTGAAGCTCGATAATATGGTAAAAAAATAAAATAATTTTTACCTATGAAGCCAATATTTGTAGTAAAGATCAAATATAATGTCTACATTGCCATTTTGAACTTGATTCAATAGCCTTTCGAGTTCGGTAAATACAGTGGCAAAATATTGTTCATAAGTCAATGTTTTAAGTTGACTTTGAGTATTTGCATTATGTTCAATGATAATGTCGTTTATGCAAGTGGTAGGTAAATTGTTATTTAAATTTACACCACATCCTGCAAAGTGAATTATACAAAATAAGCAACAATACATCATCAATTAAACTGTATCATTAGCAAAATAATACCAACCAATAGAACAGATGGCTGTGTTTCCAGCGGCAGAACTGCTGATGACTAAACCACCAATTTTTGCATTTCCTCCAGCGTATATATCATTTGGCCATTTTAGACCGAGATCAAGTTTCTATAAACAATTTAAATATTAACAGGGATAAAGTAAAAACAATACTATTCCAATATTTACATCATAGCCACCGGGCAGTGAACATATGGCTGAAACAACTGACAATGCAACAACATGTTGTAGCAATGCTAGTCTCTGACCAAGCTTTGAATCAAACGGAATGTGCAACTGTACAGAAAACATGGCACAGCCACTTGGACTCAACCATTTATTACCGCCTCTACCTATTTAACAAAAATTAGAACATAGTTATTAATGTGCAAATTTTAAAGCAAATATACATCATATGGTCCTTATTTTTGGAATTTTTATAAATAATACAATACATAATAAGTTAGTAGTTTTACCAATTCCAGAAATTTGTTGTTTTGGAATGACTACAAGCCCATGCCTGGATATTGGATCGGTTAAGAGCTTCATGGAAGATGACATGACTTCTCCAAATATTACTAGGCGTCCTAATTCTTCAGTATGGAGATCCTATAAACATTCAACTATATATTCAAATATAATAACAAAAAACTAGGAAATATAGGAATATTTGTATATTTTTTTTCTATAATATGACTTTAAAAGCTTTTGGACTCATACATTTTGTGTTTTGTATCAGTTGATGTAATTTTGCTTTCAGTTTATCAATTGTTTATATTTAACATATTTGTACATTTGTATATAGCTACACACTAATGGGCCATTGAAAACTGCTTTATAGGTTATAGGTTTAAGTTAGAAATATTATGATGAAATCAAAAACAATTAAGTGTTAAATTGATTTTCTGCAGTTATTATTTTTATTTTTATTCAGAAATGTATAGCACACAATACATCATTCCAAGATATCACTCATTCTTATTCCTTTTAATAAAAATATTATAAAATTAATAAGGGGATTGTATTCGTTTCAACATTTAATTAAAATAATGTCATAATATGTAATTTTATTGATAGTAATGATATGTAAGGCTTACTTTGAAATAATCTTCTCCACTGAAGTTCATTGGGAAATCATTGCAAATTACAGGAATGGAGTATTCACTAGCTCCAATACACATTTCATCTTTTGTACAAAACTGAACTTTTAAGTCTTTCAATAATAACACATTATTTTTCGATACTTTTCCATTTAAAGAAGTTAAAAATGTAACCTTATCCTATAAATTAAAAAAAAAATTTAAACATGAAATATTAAGGATAAAATTATATATTATATTCTACAACACACATTTTCAGTTCCTAGTAAATAAGCGGGCGTGTGTTTTGGTTCTTGATCACAGGACACACAATCCAGTCCCAAATGGGTGCTCAACAAATCTTTAATTAATAGATATCTATCCTCGGTAGTTGAACGGCACTCTCCGTTTTGATGAGGATCGATTTCCAAATGTACCTAAGGTAGTTATAGTGTTAATATATGATATACCTATATACATTATAAAGATTTTATGAGAAAGTCAATGTCAATAATTACTTGAGAGAAAATGACTTTTCCTCCGGATGGAGCTGTTGCTAAAATTAAACTTGGCGTTTCCCAGGTATCTTCGGCAGCCAGAACTTCGATGTCAATGGTATGATGCTTGTTGTTTGTATCAAACATATCCACAATGTCTAAATTTCTGTCTTCTTTAACACTAACATATTAACATTAACATTTTTTTATTGCAGTTCAATTAGTTACTCAATTAAATTTTAAGTCTTTACCCGTTTTCTGATGGAAAATGATCATTATTGGGTATGCTGGGTTGATAACAGAGAACATGGTGCAAGAGAGATGTTCGCATGGACAATGGACGGTACGTGAAGCTGACTATGTCATCAGAACACACTTCAGCTGTACTAAAAGCAGTTGGGAGCAGTGTTCCAAGAAAATCAGAACACAGGCATAAGATTCGGCCCCCTTCTGTTAACAGGTATTGCTCAAGTAATGGATAAAGTTCATCAGGTACAGCACCGTACACAACTACCATTGTGGCCTGCGACGTCCATGGTGAATGAAGCATTTTATCTAAGCTCAAAGTATAGATTGTGTACCTACATAATAAGTAAATAATAGAGTGTAGACTTTTAATATTTTCAAAACAATAAATCAATAATAATAATATTTATTTCTTGCAACAATAATAATAAATATATTTTATAAATTAAAACGGTTTACAATATTGCAGCACCCCCTAAAAACTAAGCTTGTGCTGTGGGAGCAAAGTATTTATAATTATTTAAAATATAATTTTTAATTTAATGATTAAATATATATAATCAAATACATAAAGTTATTTAAATATTTAATTTACTTATATTTGAATTAAGATTCATTATTCATTTATTTTGATAAATTTTAACATCTAAACTAATTTAATATTTTTATTGTATATTGACGTCAAAATAGGAAATATAAAGGATAAAGAGTTGCATAAGATTTAAATTTAACTTAATATTAAATAATATAACATCTATTATTGTATATAATTGAATAAAAAATATTTTTAAATATGAAGATTATATCTTAAAACCTATATCTTTGTGAACAATTATTATTCAAAATTTAAACATGAATGCCAAAGTTTAGATTCAGTATCAAAGTTAAAGTCGAAATCATCAAGACTATTATAGAACCAAGGCATATATGACTTTTAAATTCATTAAAACTGTAAGATTTTGATAAAAAAAAACATATGATGAGGATAATATGCAGTGGATAAAACGTTAATTTTAGATTCGGGCAACAAATAAGAGACTGATGGGCACTAGAAGATATGGTTTGGCTATTATCAAAACTTTGTACAACATAGAATAGGTAATTAATATGTGGTTATCATTAAAAAAAAAAAATAAAAAAATTAAGTCGTATAAAACCCCCCTAAAAAAATATGCATTGATAAGTACTAATTATTTAAAAAGATTAAGCCATTACAGATTCAATAAGTATTGCAGTTTTGTGTAAATATATATTCATTAATTTTAATAAGTAGGATATAATACACATATAAAATTAATATGTGTACAATTGAGCATAACATTGAATTGATTAAATATAATCTATAATTTAATGGCATCAATAAAATAGTGAAAATAAACAAGACAAAAACCATGACCTTAACTTATGATAATAAAGTATTATTATACATAGTAAAATAAAATGTAATTATTTGTAACCAACATTATTATTAGAACTCGTTAAAAAACCACTATATTTCCAAGTTATTTTTAATAAAAATAAATTATTTGATTAGTGTTATTCAATTAAATATAATTGTAGTTAATTAAATTAAGTTTTGTTTTTATTTCAACAATTTATTATTTTACCTGTATCTATGCAAGACTGACTCCAATGAATGCTGAATTTGTTGTGCGCTGGAAGCACTGTCACTAAATATAATAATATTTGGTGGTTTTCCAGTTTTTGATTCACCACTATGTTGTACCGGTGTATGACATCGAGGTCTTGTTTCAATACTGTTACTAAAATCGGAAAATGATCGATGACTTCTCATCATTGAAGAATTTAAAGAGTTACTATATATCCCAAACACATCAGGACTACTTTTAATTGGTTTCATCCTGGAAAATAAAAGAATACAAATTATAAACCATTAAAAGAAATATTTTCAATGGTATTTGCTCGCCTATTTGGTGCTCAGTTAAAATATTCATACCCGCTTGAAAATTTTGTTTCATTTTCTTCAATCGGCGTGAGAACTATTCTTCGAAAACTAATAGACTCACTGGAACTAGTTGAAGCACTCTCATAATCATATTCACTATTTGATTTTCCATTTAATCCATTGTTAAATTGAACATATTGTAAGTGATTATCTTTTGGAATTTCCAGTTCAGGAATAGTGTTCTTATCAATGTTACTCTCAATTTTACTCTCAGTAAAATTTTCTGATATAACATTTTTTACAATGGTGCTGTCAACTTCATCTTGTTCATTTTCAATAACAACATAATCGTCCATATTTATTTCATTATCAGCTTCTCTTGACAATACTGCTGAACTGAAAATATTGAGATAACTCATTAGAAAATTATGAAAAACAATTTAAACCTGGTGAATAAATGTTACCAAAAGTTAATAGGTTTTCCAGTTTTTAATACATTTTTTGCAGCCACAGATACAGCATAAAGTGTGTCACAGTAGTTTTTCCACTGAACAGTTGTTAAATTGTTGATAATACCTATGTGAAAAATAATTTTGTAAAATTACATGTGTCCTTATAAACATTAACTACAATCAAATTTACCATAATTATCATGTAAACTATAAACAAAGTCAATACTAGAAGCAATTGATTCATTATTTTCAATATCACACGGTTGACCTTCAACTTTTACAGCTACAAAAAACAACAGTTAAACAGTTATTAACAATGTCTTTTAAAAATAATTTTTAACAGACTTTGTATTCGTAGTAATTCCATATGGTTTCCCAGATATAGTGATTTTGAATCAGCCATAAAACTACTGGTAAGCTTAGCAAAATGATCCAGATCAGTTTCCAACAATAGACCAAAATTTTCCCCGGCATTCCATGCTTTAGGCACACCAAAATCTTCAATCTAAAATAAACAAAATATATTAATCACCATACAAATAAAAAAATCGTCAAGAGTTATATTTAACTTACGAAACATTTCTCCATGTTTTGACGACCATTGAACATTCTGTAAGTGGCTTCAACCAATAAATGAAGTTTTGTTTCTAGACTTAAAGTTATTGGCTTGTGTGTATTCAAGAGTGCAGGAAATGTAATAGGGTTATTTGGAATAAGAATCCAACTATCCACATTCAATATTTGCTATTAAAATAAAATAATCTAATTAAAAAAAATGTATACAAAAAAAAATTAAATACGTCAATATTTTAACTTTTAAGTACATCATATTTGAAATTTATCAGTACAATTATATTATACATTATTAATATTCTTCTTTGCTCCAAACTGTATGGGGTCACTCTCTTTAATTAATTCCTATTGCCTTTTCTAAATATATAAACTCCATACAGAAATTACTTTTCTTTACCCACTCACTGTACTTCTCCACAATCTGCCCTAAACAGAATATTGGTTCCTTTATCAATATTTTTGGCATAAACCCAATCTGCCTCACACAGAATATTGGTTCCATCATTGATATTCCTGACATAGATTCAAAATGATTCCTCAAAATCGTAGTCTCACTTCTTATCCTAAAGTTTCATCCTATGACTCGTATAATGTATACATTATTAATCAAAACTTATATTATAATATAGTTCAAATCTAAATCAAGCAATCTAATTGTGTTGTAACATCTAAATATATATGAATAATATTACGTTACCTCGGGGAAAACTGAACATGACCTTTTATGCCCAACAAACGACAGGATCTGATCAAGCTGAGCGGACCTAGCATCTTTGCAACTGTCTGAAGTAATGCCATAAGGTCTTATGGACAGGAATATATCACCATTTTTTTTATTGCACAGGTCTAAAATGACAATTTCATAAGAATGAATCAGTAGAAAAATTTAAGTAGAAAAAAAGTTATTTAATACCATACATACTTTCGTTGTCTAATCCTAAAAAATCCTTTTCTTTGTATAGCACTAGAGTCAAATTGTTTGAAAGGTATTTTTTAAAATTTGATTTTATATTTGATAATCTATATGATTGAAACCAATTGGTAGCCATATAATACAGCGTCAGCAGCATTGTCTCTTTAGGATACCATTAACAGAACTCGACAATTTCAATTGGTAACATTAGTTTTACCAATAATAACTACCCAAAATGGCAAAATATAAAATAAAAGTTAATTACAACAAAACTTGTAATTTGATGAACACCATAATAATAATTATTATGTTTACACTAAGGAATTGAATTTGTAGAAGGTCATCCGTGCACTTACTTTCATCTGGACGAGACAATTATAATGATGATAAGTAGGTATAATATATTAAATTAGGCTCGAAAAAATTACATTTCACACTACATCCCATGCACATTACATAGGTAGCCTTATTAGCATGACATTCAACTGACTTTAAACCGATAACTGGCATATTGGCATAATCACCAATCAAGAATATCAGCACAGAATAGTTAAATCAGATTAGGAATTAAAACATAATATTCGATAGTGGTTGATCGTTTTCGATATGAGAAAAATTACATAATATTTACTATTTATTTTTTATAGTTTTTACATTCATATAAGTTGGGTACAAAATAATAAAATCCTTGATAATATAATCACAAGTGTGCTGTATCTAGATGGCAGCACAAAATATGTTGCATATTATAATTTGTTAAATTTTATTTTTGTCTTTTTGACTTAGCATAGAACATCTGAACATGTAACATGTGTCATAGGGGGGGGGCTTTTGGGGCTAAGCCCCCCAAAAATTTACATAGACCCCTCAAAATTCCTACAATTTATTTTAAACTTATTCAATATTATCAAAGTAAGGCTTTAGTCCCCCAAATCCCAAACGCTATTTGCGCCTATGGTCATGTACCTACCTAATATTTAGTTCTATGATACTGGGTGTCTACAAAAACTGTAAATGATCATTTAACAAATTGTTTTTATTTTTTTTCCAAGAATGTGTGGAATTGTAATTCGGTACTATTGTACTGACGAGGAGTGACGACATATCTATTTTGAACTGCTTGAACTCCTTGAACGGCTTGAACAGAATACTGAGGTACATGAACGGAAGCGTTCGTTTTGTGTCATTGGATAAGGTAATCTGCCGATTAGCATAATATAGTAGGTACCTATACCTATATATATTATGATTATGATTTAATTAGACCAGAAAATTTTTTCTGGGTGGGGGGAGGGAGTTCAATAACATGTATATTGTAATTTTATTGAATTTAAGTTTTGATATTTGGTTAAAAATAAGACGTATTGAAAAAAATCAGGGGGGATTCCAGACCCCCTGGTTGTAGCCATAAAAAGGGTGATTGGTCAAAATATCCAAAATATCGAAATGGATCCGTTTTTACGAAAATTAGTAGACTACACTTGACTTTCTAATAAGATAAGCTCAAATATCAAATTATTTAATTAGCTCGTTTGTACCAATAATATCACAAAATATACTGCAATGCAAATATTAGTCAAATACTCAAATAATATAAAATAAAATGTATAGTTAAAATGTAAAATAATTTTTAAGCATTTTGCACACCCAACGAATTAACTTGGGTACATTAATTTATTTTATATAATTTTAATATTTGACCAATGTCTGTGTGTGCAGTATATTTTGTAATATTACTACTAACGTAATTTAGGTATATAATGAATTTATATAATTTATAATAATTTATATTTTAAATTTAAATTATTATTATATATGAGGTATATTTTTATAATTAAATAATTTGATATTTGAGCTAATTTTAGTAGAAAGTAAAGTGTAATTTAGATTGATACTTATTTTCGGAAAAACGGATACATTTGGAAGTTTATTGTCCTTGGATATTTTGATCTAGATTCCATAAAAAGTCACAAAATATGCATTTTAAAAATAAAATTTAATGCTGGCAATCCGACATAATCACATCGTAAACGATTATCTATCTATTAATAAAATATTAATACACTGCAATTTCATCTTATCGTCTTATTGACAAGCTTCAAGCGCTTTTCTGAAAAATTTGCACCCTCAGTTCAAAACCATATTATGCGACAAAAATTAAAAACAAATTTATGTTTTGTATTAATTAAAATAAAAACCTCGGTGGAGATAAATTCATAGAATGATTAATTGAGTTAAAATATGTCTCCAGAGACCAGAAGTATAAAATTGAAGAAATATGCCTTGAAACAAACAAAACTCAAAATATGTATTCATATGCAGAATACAATTTCAAAACCACCTTTGTGAAAGCATGAAACGTATTTGTTTCGCACTCTGCTGTTTTCGTGACTGTTCAAAACAAATATGGAAATGCTACAAGTCCTCTGCTTCAGTTATGACCATATTGTTCTATGATTATAGTGGATTTATAAAGTGGATTACCAAACATTCTAGTCCGTGGATAGTACTAATAAACGGGTGTTTGAAACATGTCTTCTGTTTCTATATGTTTATAATTTATATACATTTCTGCATTATTTTGTATTTAATATAATATTTAGAATAATATTATGATCTAAACTGTGTTTGGTGAATATTATTCCAAAATTATTAGGAGGTAGGTAAATTTCAAATGGTCACACTGGTCATGTAAATGTTAGGTTATGTTTTTATAATCAAATTTATTTGCATTATCAGTGTTAGTTTGCAGAATTTCATTTCAAGAGAATAATAAAAAAGCCTGATAGATAATTTTATTCGAGTAATAACAATACATTTTCGTTCCTTTAATTTTTATATTAAAATAGGTATTTAGAAAGCGCTTTAATCACAATAAATAATTCAAAATGAGTTCAATCGGAACTGGTGTAAGTATATTATTGTTTTAATTCTTTCAACGGCAATGTCCATTTTACATTTTCGATTGTTTAACGTAATTTATTATGTACAATTATTAAAATTAAAGATGATGATAATATTTCATTACATTTTTAGATTTTGTAAAATATAATACATCTGAAATATTTTCTTTACAGTATGATTTATCAGCATCTCAGTTTTCACCCGACGGTCGAGTATTTCAAGTTGAATATGCTTTCAAAGCGGTTGAAAATAGCGGGTAAATACCATAATATAGCTATTTAATTATTATATTATTTTTAATTGGATCCATGATTTGTATTTGTTAGAACTGCCATAGCTTTACGTGGTTCTGATGGTGTTGTTTTTGCCGTGGAGAAGTTGGTCACGTCAAAACTTCATGAAGACTGTACAGGAAAAAGATTGTTCAGTGTGGAAGATCATATTGGAATGGTAGGTTTTGAAATATATAATATGTATTTTACTATTTTTAGCCTATCATATAATAATATAACTTTCCAATTAGGCTGTTGGAGGATTGACTGCTGATGCCAGTGCAATATTAGATGTCGCACGTGAGGAAGCGAGGTCATATCGTCAGAATTACAGTATGCCCATTTCATTGAAATATTTAAATGAACGAGTATCCATGTACATTCATGCTCACACATTGTACAGTGCTATTAGGCCATTTGGATGTGCTGTTATTATTGGCTCTTATGATCCTAAGGACGGTCCTCAAATGTATATGATTGATCCAGCTGGAGTATCGTTTGTATGTTTTTGTTTATTTTTTTATAAATATTGTTAAATATTGATTTTTTTATTAAACTAATTAAAAAAAACCAGTACCAACACAAAAACTGTTGGTTCTAGTTCAATACGGTTACAGTACCTACTTATACTAAAACTTTTAATATTAAATAAAAAAAACTGTGCTCTATTAATATATTTATAAAAACTAAAAATTTAACTTCTCACATTTATAGTTGTTTGTAATTTTAGGGATATTTTGGATGTGCTATTGGTAAAGCTAAACAAACGGCCAAAACTGAAATAGAAAAGTTGAATATGAAGACAATGACATGTAAAGAATTGATTAAAGAAGCTGCTAAGATGTATACAAATATTTGTTATTTTGTATTTGTATAGGTTTGACAATTTATTTATTTTTAGAATATACATGGTGCATGATGAGTTGAAAGATAAACAGTTTGAACTTGAACTTAGCTGGGTTGGTAGCCATACTAATGGAAAACATGAAGAAGTTTCAAAAGAAGTATTTGACGATGCATTGAAATATGCTAAGGCATCTCTGGATGATGATTCTGGTTCAGATGGAGAGTAAACTATTGTTAATGATTTAAGGAAAATTGACTGTTTGTCAAATTTATGGTACATAAGTTTAAAAATATTTTTTTTTTTATTTAATAAAAAAACAACATTTTTGAATTTGATTTTAACTTATTTTTCTACCTTATAATAGATATAGTATTAAGAAATATATTTTCACATTATACTATTACGTAATTTTTCTTAACTAGGTACCTATTTTGATTTCTGACATAGTAATGTCAAGTGTTTTATAAATATTTATTTATAACAATATAATACAAGGAATTACAACTAAAATTTCTCATTTTATTGTGTTCACAACATGAAAGTGATTAATTAATATATAACCTCATAACAATAAAATGTTATTTACAGTTTACTTTAAAATAGTTTATTATATTAATTAATATTATTTACATTTGTTATATAAAAAATAGAAATCTAAAAGCAATGGTCATATTATGTTAAGTTTAAACTTAAGGATTTATCCACTTTAGGGAGCAGTAAAATAAAAATACAGTGAAACCTCGATAACTCGAATCGGTTGGGGGCGAAAAAAAAATTTGAGTTATAGAAAATATTGTGTATACTTATTGAAATGAAGGGGCTCAGATATTCTTACAAGTTATTGAAAATTTGACTTATAGACATTTGAGTTAACGAGGTTTCACTGTATATATTATGATACAGATTTTAATATATAAAGTTGATAAAATTTTTTTTGATCCATATTTTATATTCTGATTTCTGTAATTGCATATCTGTTTGCTATCATTTTTGATAACGTTCCGTTTTTCTTTCAGTTTGTATGATACCAAAGCCTGTTTAAGTCCTTGTTGAACCTGCAAAACCATTTTTTGAACATTTAAAAGAGATTATTTGGCAGGACATTTAAATTAAAATTGAACAATTTTTACTTTC